GTGCAGTGAGTGGGAAGCTGCTGGGATTGCAGCTCCCATCTTGTGGTGTTTGGAGGTTATAGAATAAAAAGTTATTTTAAACAAGAAGCAGCGAAAGATGTGCTTTTACAATCCACAGCCACAACTGTCATCTTTGATTGTGTGTGTGTGTGTGTGTGTGTGTGGTTGAGGGGGTCTTTTAGACTTGTGCAAATAAAATATCAACTGCAGTGGGTTTTTTTCTCCTCCAAGGATGCACATGAACTTTTTCATGTCCTCACGTCTTCTCTGGAGGAGGAGCGAAATCGACAACCCAAAGTCACACATTTATTTGACGTGCAGTCACTCGAGGCAAGCTATAGAAGAACCTTTACTCTGCAAAAATACACACACATTTCTCTCGGCTGTCGCACCCTTTTCACATTCAGTACCACTGATGTAGCCTGAAGTTTTTGTTCCTCCTTAATCTGTTGTTTCAATAACTCTTACCGTGTTGTGTTACTAGAATCTTTCTAATCAAGAAGACAAAACAACAACTTGCATAAGTCGAGGTAAGAAATAAAAATAAAACTTGTGTGTTAAATATGAAGACCAGAAAAAAATGATCTCATGTGTGTGGGTTTGATTGGCAGCTCCTCTTCATCCAATCCCGGACCCTTGGAAGTTTCAGCATCCTTTTCACGGCCGTTTAACAAGCAACATGTCGTGTAAGCGCTGTAACATACAGGTGAGCTTTTATTTCCTCAGTCTGGAAATATATCATCAGCTTGTGTTATTTTGTACTAGAAGTGATTCGTGGATCTGTTGTGTATTTTTCTTTATTTTTATTTTTTTTAATTTCTAGAGTCCAGTGCGGTATGACTCATTTGAGACCCTCTCCCTGTCCATCCCTCTTCCTCAGTGGGTAAGCAAGAATGTAATGTGTTTGAGTGAAATTTTACAACTGTTTCAGCATAATAAGCACTTTCTTTCTTCTATTATTTTGTGTTTTGTTTTCAGGGTCGGCCTATTACTTTAGATCAGTGCCTGCAGCATTTTATTTCATCCGAAACAATCAAAGAAGTAGAGTGTGAAAACTGCACAAAGGTATATTTAGTACACTTTTAATTATGAGAAGAGAGGCATGCAGTGCTTTTTCTTTCATCTGCTTATGCTCTTTTTTTCCAGCTTCAACAAAGTACAACTCTAAACGGGCAGGTTTTAGAAAGCCAGAGAACGACGTTTGTTAAACAGCTCAAACTTGGAAAGGTCTTTGCACTTATTGTGTCACTAAAGATTGACAGCTTGAGTTTTGTTTTAAAGCAAATAAATGCAACCTTAATTTGTGTTGTTAGCTCCCTCAGTGCCTGTGTATCCATCTACAAAAGCTGACGTGGTCCAGTGAAGGAACCCCCATCAAGCGGCAGGAACACGTGCAGTTCGCAGAGTTTCTGTCGATGGATCGCTACAAACACAACAGCTCCACGCAGAATCATCGCAGGATCAAATGTGCCCCCAAAGCCCCGCGGGCAGAAAGTTTAAACGATTCCACAGAAATGCCCAAAGCTAACGGGACTGGTGTGTTTGCTAAAAGTGCAGTTTTAATGAGCTTCATATTTTGGTTGCTTTGCTTTTTTGGCGTCTCACGTTTTACTGAACTGTCTTTCAGATACAGAAAACAACAACAAACCTTTCTCTAACGGAACCTGCTCTTCTGTCTTTATTCACTCTCCGGGTTTAAACTCACAACTTGGCGTAACGTATGACTTCAGGTAAAGTTTAAAGTTTTCATTTAACTCACACACGTTAGGAAAACCTTAACCTATTGAGCCCCATGCCCCCAGTACTGGGAGCAAAACAGCTTTTTCCGTTTTCTATTTTTTTTAACTTCTTTTAACTTAAGATCTGTCAGTTGAACCTGGACATGTTTGGTATCAAAAGAATCAGAAAGTAAACAAGCTGTACAAAATGTCATCATTGCAAATCTGTAAATACATACATGTAAATCTGTAAAGGAAATTTTTTGACATTTATTTAAAGTAAGTCAAAGCATATACCAAAATATTGTAAAGTTTAACTTTTTTTTCCAGTTAATTTTGAGTGAATATGATCCAGTAAAGTCAAATATAATTTCTCATTATTTTAAATAATATATATGATGACAAATAAATGTTTGGGTAATTTTTCCAAAGAACAAACATTCAATAAGTCTTTTTAAGGCAGGTAAGAAAAAAAATAACTTTTGCAATTAAAAACTTGAGATTTCTTAACATTTATTAATGGTACCATCATGGTCTGTCCTGTGCAGAATGACAAAATTCAAAATTATTTATTTACTAAAACCTCTATAACTTTGCTCCACTTAATTTTAGGAGCATGAATCTTTGCACAGGTAATGTCCACAAGTGGATTTATGGTTTCCAAGAGWTTTTAGCCTCAATCATTATGGTTTTAAATAGGTTATATACTGTCAAATGAAAAAAATTATTCAGGTGAGAGTGAAAAAAAAGTTCCATCCAATATCTCTAAAACCACAGCAGCTGTTTGAATACTTCGATTCTGATGAAATATCCTAAGTGTTAGCTTTATTTTAATACCAAGATTATGTATGGTAAGTAGAATTTGAATGTTGTTTAAATGCTGAGATACACTCAATTACATTTCGGCTTGGTATTTTAGAAAAAACTTCAAGAAAACTTACCAGGAGGTAATATAGTAGTCTTTAAATGCTATTCCAAAAAAGTATCCAGCATCTTCTACAGATCTGAGACTGTTTTAAAGGAGCTCATAAGGAAACGTCCCGCAGCTGGTRAGAGTGTAGGGACTAATGTGTCCCCACAGTGTTTTTTTTTTCATTAGACTTTATTTGAATAGTGTTTGATTAAAGATACCCTGATCCGTTGAAGAAGTAAAATTAAATAAAAGACAAGAAAATAAACAAAATGTTTTTAAAAAATTGGGTGGTTGTAGATATTTAAATGTTTTKTGTAAGTACAAGTTGAAACTTGGTGGAGCCAAATACTTTTTTAAAAATGCATATTTGTACTGAATGAATTCAATCTGGTGACTTGAGTTTCATAACTCAATACTCAATTTTTTTAAAGCATCAGCTTTTATTTTGAAAGTACATAGATTTAACTGGACAGAGGGTTCAAAAGCAAACTCATTGGTAGATTTTAAAATGTTGAATTGGTCGTATATTTGTKCTGTTTCTTACATGTTCGATGTTTTTCTTGTAAAGATAAACAGCAGGAAAATAAAACCCCAGCAGATGGTTTCATTCTGAGCCAATCACTTGCATTTCTCTTGCCTCCAGCRTCCTCCCCTCCAGCTCGACGGAGTACTTGTTTCAGCTTGTGGCTGTGCTGGTCCACCACGGGGACATGCACTCGGGACATTTCATCACGTACCGCCGCAGCCCTCCTCGGCCGCACGGCTCCTCGGCCTTCAGCTCACAGTGGCTCTGGGTGTCGGACGACTCGGTGCGGAGGTCCAGCCTGCACGAGGTGCTGTCTTCCAACGCCTACATGCTCTTCTATGAGAGAGTTCGGAGGCCGAGCCTGAGCCGCGACAGTGAGCTGTGTGAGGAAAGCCGCCCTGGAGTGTCGGTGTTTGAGCGTTGTGTGTGAGTGTGCCGTGCGGCGGACACGTCCTGCTGCTTTGATCACAGCAGGAGGATCGTAATCCCAAAGATAACGGACCTGYGGGACTTTTTTTGTGACGCTCTTGGTCATGTAAGCTACGACTCTTTGACTCATTTAACTATTTCTGTGAGTTTCATGGCTTTACGAAACAAAGACACAGGAACACCTGACAGCAATGTGATGCACATGAGCAGCTTTATCTGAGCTGCGACACAGTTACCATGCTGTGTAAATATGAACGAAAAACATTTTCATGGCGTTCCTGTCAACTTGTCATAGTCTATGAATAACAAACACAACCGTAGCTGAGTATAGTTTCTCAGAGGGGTTATTTTGAAGTTGTTACACATTATAAAACAGTTTTTRAATCTGCCTATTTCCAACAGTGTGTGTAAACTATTGTAGAAAAGTTTTAATTAAAGTTTCAACTAATACGTTGTTAAGCTGTACGGTCCCCGTTTACAGAGCTGCATGACTGAGGATCATGTTCTTTTTAAGAATTTTTAAAAAGTTAAACCACAAGTTCAGCCACTGAAATGATGATTAAGTGGAGACCACTCTGAAAATACAATGTTTAAAAGCTTTGGTGTTCAATAGAATAATTGTTCATCTCCGTTAACAAAACTTAATTAGATGTTTCTGGGTATATTTTCCTGAATGATATTTTTAATTCCGAGCAATAGATAACCGTTTTGTACCAAACCAGGAAAATTAAAATGAGCATTAAAATGCACTTCGTATTTTCATGTGAGGTGGAATGTTTGTGTGAAGTATTTGAATGATTGTTTTCTGATATAAAAGTGAAAAGAATAAAAATTTAGTTAAGCTTTTTATTTCTTGTGTGAAAACATTTTGTTGATTGAAGCGTGATCTGAGTGCCACCACCTTCTATCGCTTTATGAAGCAGCTTTAATAACAGTCCAGATTTTAATTTCTGCTCAGTAAGATGCGTCTAAAGGTGAGATTGATGCGAGGCGAGAGGACCTTCTTCCGAACAGGAAGGCTGTGGTACCAGAAGGTGTTGGTCGGCGGGTTCATGAGGAGCAGGCTTCCGTGAGCCAGCTCCAGCTTCACGGGCTCAATCTGACGGCTGCTTCCTTTGCCTCGAGAGTCTCTGTGCCTGAAGACGAAATCTCGAGCTGCTCCTAAAGACACGGAGGCGATGGGACAGGACGGGTCCAGCTCCTTCTCGTCATCTCGATGCTCACCCATGTGGTCCCGCCCGTCTTTGTACCTGGAGGAAGGACAGACACTTTTTCAGCACGTCAAAGTTTTGAAATCATTTCTTAAAAAAGATACAGAAAGTGTTGGGATCAGGTCTATGCAAACAAGCTATAAATTATTGTAATAACAAATTTGTTTTATGGTCTAGCTCTGTTTAGGATGAACTCATTGGTTTTGACAGAAAGCTTTGTCATTTAACATTTTTCGAAAGTTCCTCTCGGTGGTGATGTCTTGATTTAAAATCTATTTTAAATGAACTCAACAGCGGCCGGACTCAGGTCACCCACGGACCAGATGTGGCCCCCGAGCCGCTATTTGAATAGCTCTGGTTTAGATGAGTTGAAAAAAATAATAGAACCATCATTCATTACACTAATGACATTTGTTTTCCACAGACGCTCTTGGTGTGAAAATGCACCAACCTGACAGTGTGTGGGCGTGGCTCGATCACGTGACGGGATCGCTCAGAGCCAAAAGCAGGATGGATAAACTTTACTGATCAGTAAGTGCGGCAGTAATATTCATGTGTTTTAATACCAAACTAAATCATTTCGTGTGTTTTTTTAAAATCTAAACTAACTATATTTTTTACGACCGTCTCGTTTTTATTTTTTTAATCAAGGACCGATTTAATTGCCTGCCCCTTTAGTGAAGGTGTAATTTGGACTGTTTACCCTTTTTTTTGTTATTTTGCACTGCTAATGCAGGTTCTSTGTGATCAAAATGTGTATTCACTTATTATTTATTTAATATAAGTTTAAAATGTGTTAACCTTCTATAATACACATTTTGATGACAGGCAGGAAAAAAAATGTCTGGAAAGTTTTGATGTCTCAAAGTCATATAATCAGTCAAAATATGTTTGTTTTTTCATGTAGCCTAACATAATTTTTATTTTGAAAAAACTCTAAATATGCATCAATTACTTCTAAAAGTCTACCTCATAATTTTGTCATAAATGAGCAAAATCAGTAGTCATTGACTGAATTGAATTGAAATGAATTGACAGTTCACTTTGGACAGACTTGGCTAATTTTGAACAATGGAAATTCAAACTACAGGTAGAAAGTGAAAAAAGTTATCTCTTCTTCTGAAAGGAAATAATGACTAAAAACTAAGATGAAGTAAAGTCATTTTGAGGGAGGAAATTGAGCCATCGATGGCTGAGATATTCTGACCTCTGACMGGAGAAATTCTGTAATTGAACCATATTTACTTATAAACAACAACCTGACGGCAACATGAAGCCATAGAAAGTTAAATTATTTGTACATGCAATTAATGAGTTATGATAAAATAATATACTTAGCACAAAAAGTAAGGAAATTTGTGTTTGGTAGATTATTTCCTTGTAACAACAACAAGGCTTCTTGGTAATAAATCTTATAGTGGGCATCTGATTGGCAGCACCTGGGGGTACAAGAAGCTCAAAACAAGTGTCAACAGCAAAATAAGCTGTTTGGCAGATAAAATTTTGCATATTTTTCATGTGCACAACCCACGTACTGAGCTCTACTGTTCATCCCACAAATGCATGTTCCTTATGTAGCACCATTTAAAAAGGGAAATTAGCAGTATTTCCAATTGTATAAAGTTTCTTGCCAAGAAACATTGTTACAACAAAGAAATAATCGACCAAACACAAACTATTTGTGCTATGTTTAGATGGCTAAAGTAAGAATATTTTGCTCTGCAGAGCGAAGATGCCTCGCAAAGGGAACGAAGCATGAGTAGGAACTAAAGATGCTCACCATGTCTGGCAGCAAATCTCCAGGCAGAGAGGGAAAAATAAAACAAGTAAGAATACTTCTTCCAGCTGTAATACATGACTGTATGGATAAAGTAGAGCAGTTGTTCAACATTGTTGTTAAAGGGATCCCTGATTAGTTGTAACATTAGACTTTATTTGATAAGCATTTATATTAACTGTAAAATAAAGACTGTAAAAATACTGTAGGCTGTTTAGTTTTATCATTTTTAAACTAAAAGTTTTAAAATATATTTTAACACAGATGGGGACATTTTATTTACACACAAAGCATTCTGGGTAAATGATGACATGGATAGGTCCTTGGTGCGAGGCTGCTAGCGAGCTATATCCACCCTGAAGGTTAATCTTGGACAATTTCATCTTTTTTAAATGAAACCAGAGAGCGTTGACARAGAGGAGAAGGTAGAAATGACTCAGCCTGTAACTGAAAATATGGATGGAGGACAACAGAGCTGCTTCATGGAAGAAGAACCCCAACTCAGCCTGTTAGCTTTAGCATTAGCCCTGATGCTATCACCATATACATGTATTAGCTCAGCGCTACACATTCTCCTCTCATCACTGAGGTCCTCCATCCACATGACAGAGAGGGGAACACCCTGCAACTGAAAATATGGATGGAGGACCTCAGTTTAGCTTGTTTGTCGCGCTAGCACTGAGCTAATACATGTAAGGCAATATAGCGTCAGTGCTAGCTTGAAGGCTAACAGGCTAAGCTGAGATTCTTCTTCCATGAAGCAGCTCTGTTGTCCTTCATCCATATTTTCAGTTACAGGCTGAGTCATTTCTACCTTCTCCTCTCTGTCAACGCTCTCTGGTTTCATTTAAAAGAGCCAATCATCTGATATTGTCCAAGATTATCCTTCATATAGCTCGCTCACACGATGACCTGTCCATGTCATCATTTACCCAGAATGCTTTGTGGGTAAATAAAATGGCTCCGTCCGTGTTAAAATATATTTTTTAAAATTTACAAAACTAAACAGCCTACAGTATTTTTACAGTCTTTATTTTACAGTTAAAATAAATGTTTATCAAATAAAGTCCAATGTTAAAACTAATCGTGGATCCCTTTAAAATGTTTGATAGATATTCCAATAGGAGACTGTGCCTTGTTCTCAGGTGGAGAAGTAGGTCAGACATGGAGAGGACACTGAGCCAGAAGCATCTGAAGGAGCACAGAGAAAAGCCAGACGAGGAACAGAAACTGAAACTGCAGTGAAAAAAGTGAAAACACAAGAATATAATTGAGGTAGAGAATATCAGGATGAGGAAGCTGAGGCTGCAGATGAACTGCTCTCATATCTTCTCAGGATGATTTTATCAAGCTGTGTGATGATACCTCTACGTTCTTCCAAAAAAGGTAGAGGAAAATGTGAAAAAAAAAAAACATCGACTTCAGTATTCTTCCTGCACTGCTGACTTGATTTAAATTAGGAAAAACACATAAGCCGAACCTCCTGGATATCCGTAGGAATTAAATGGAGAAGCACTTTTCAAAACATCAAGAGAACACAGTGACTCATACATGTGTAACACATTTAGAAACCCTACCCTCCACGTTTTAGCTGTTTCTCTGCACCCACACGCCTGATTCAGTAGTTGAATTAACTCCTTGGTGTGTCATCAAGTTCTGAAAAAGCTTGTTAATCACAATGCATTTAAATCAGGTGTGCTGGAGGAGAGAAACATCGAAAACAGGCTGGACCTCGAGTATCAGAATTGGACAGCACTGGTCTACACCAATCGTAGATCGTTCACTTTTAAAATTTGAAGATGGTGAAACCGAAGAATCAAAATGATCTGATCTTCTATTATTTGTGAATGAAAAGGAACAGTGAAGTCGTACACTTCATTTGGGACGTGTACATTGCTGGCCTGCATTACCATCCACCTTTTTATTTAACATTTTACCCTCCTATTTTGTTTTTTCTGGTTGAGAAACTGAGATATGATGCTGTTTGCTCTAAGAATCTATAAATTAAAGTATTTAAATCTTGTTCTTTATGGCTTTTTTTAAAAACTGGGTGTAGGTCTGTGTGTGTGGCGGGGGTATTATGTATTCTCCAGGTACATAGATCAATTCTATGCCACAATCAACTAACTATGGCTACATTCACAGTGCAGGCAAATACAACCCAAATCCGATTTTTCCCCCCATGTGATCCATATTGGATTTTTTTATGACAGTCTAAACATGACAAATCATATTTTTTCAAATCCGACCACGATGTTTCAGTATGTGATACTGAATCTGATGATTTTCAAAGCAACTGCAGTCTGAACACTTGTCCCATTTCATCCGACTTTTACATCTGTGAAGTGGGGGGTGCGCAGATTGACCCATATAATAATGACACTAAACTTGAGTCATACAGTTTAAATCTTGTAGCTCCACACCTCTTCAGCTTAAGAACAGCAGTCCAGTTGCTTCAACTTTCTTGTTTTAATCTTCGAAGACTCAGAATCCATAGAAACACATGACAGTAACACCGGACTGACCGCATCGATACTAAAGTTACTCGATCGATAAGTTACTTTTAGCACGTCGCTTCTTTCCAAATATTAAATGCTGCACCCGAGCATCCGGTCAGAGGCAGGTTCAGATATAAACACTTAACTAAACAAGCATGCCATTTAAATATTTAATCGGCTCTGATTGCACAACAGCTTCAGAATCGACATTCTAACAAATAGCATCCATGTTTAGCTAATTCTGCAAACTGCAAGCTGAATGTGACATCACATCATCTTCTGTGCACGTGGGTCACATCAGGGCCGTGGAGAGTTCACGTTGGAGTCAGACGGAAGTCGCATTTAAAATATAATGTGAACGTTCACGCCAAAAAATTGAACATTAGGACCTGAAGTGTGAACATAGCCTGTGTTAACTTCAATTGTTATGAAAAGGCTGTATATATGAAAAATAAATTAGACTTTGCATCATAGTCAAAACGACTTGAAATTGGCCTCTGTCTCTTTAAGAACCTCCTACCGTTTCCAACACTTCCGCTTCACCTCTTCACAACAATAGGTCAGGGGAGGTGTGCTCTGTGGGGCGGGAGATCAGCTGCAGACTGAGCTCCGGGGAGGAGCTTTGTACAAATAGGCGGAGCTTTGTACCAGCAAGTGCTTAGGCTGCTCCACATGACTACCACAGGAGATTCAAGGATTTCTCAAATATGCATGTATGAGTCAAAACAACACTGAGCATGTTTTTGATGAATTATAACATGATTCAAAGCTAAAAAAAATGTCTTTTTTGCACCCTCAATATGCTTATCCTAAACTGTAGTCTTGTTTGTGACGTGTTACCTGTTTATCAACACAAAATTAAATGTCTGTCCTGTTGCTTTCGTGACCGTCTCTCTGATGTATTCCAAAGTTGGAGTCCATGGGCTGGCTGAACGTGTTATCCCAGAATAAGTATAAGTTAGGCCTGTGTCTCCATAGGTTGCCTGTTTTCTGGGTATGTTATACACCTTTCCAAACACTTGGACCTTTGCATCGTCTCCTGGAAGGAAAAACAGCAACGGTCATTTAAAATTCTCTGAATTTCCCATCATATTTTGTACAGAAACAGAGCTGATATTGTACCTGCTGAGTACACCACCTCTTCCTCCAGCCGTGTGAAGAGATCATCTGCTTCCCCTTTTGAGAAGAGCAACGCATAATCACAGTCCAGTTCCTCTGCTTCAAGTTTTTGCCAAGGAATGGGATGAGAGAACTCTCCTACATCTGCATCCGAGTCTTCATCATTTACGCTTTCATCTTCCTCTAGTTTTATTTGTTTCTTTGGACTTCTTTGTAGGATGTCATCATCGCACAGGCATTTATTCTTTTCGTAAAGGTGATGCTTATTCATTGCAGAGTTATTTTCCCTGAAGAAGCCAAAACCATACAAACATTTAAAAAAGTTAAACATGGGTTTCATTGCCATCCATCCATCCATGCTTTGATTTGTTCACGTTTTGTTTTATGTATTTTTGTTTTCTTATTGGAAATGTACCAAAGAAAAATAATCATCTTACTTTAGCTCCCAAATCTATACTTTTATTTATTTGATGCATAAATACAGAAAATAAAAATCAACAAGTGCTCATTTTATTTCCAAAATGTGTTTTAATGTTTGCTTTATTTCAGGCAGCAAACATTTAAAAGTGAAGTTTTAGCAATTCCTTGCTGGTCTTGAACACAACTCAGCTCATTATCATAAATGTTGTCGTCACTAATTTCTGGCGCGAATCCTTTTTCTTTTTTTTAAATCACGCTGAACGATTTCAGTGTTTTGGCTCTCGTTTTTAGATGATTAACTAACTCAGGTCGTTTGCCTCAGTTCACCGCCTAAGTGTCACCTGGAAAAATGATTGGACAGAAAACTATTAATTCATTTTTCTCCCCAGTTTCGAAGAAGAGGGTTTCTAAGGAGTTAAATGACACCGAGGAGCATGCGAAAGACCCGGTGAGCGTCACTTCTTTCTCCAACTTTAGCAACTTAACTGACACGAAAACAAAACGTTTTTATGTTATTGCTAAAAACGCTCACATTACTTGTTTGTATTTGCGAGTTTTGTATTTCCCCCCTCGACAAGCAGCGTGGTTAAAGCTGCGTTCACGGACACCTCGGTGTTCCCAGTGTTGTCGAGCGCGTCATGCTAACCGCTTTAGCACAACATGAGAGCGTTAGCGCCGCTTTGTCGACCGCTGTTAAAGCCAGTTCCACTCCAGGCTTTCTCACCGAGTCTGTGCTTTGCTCAATGCGTTATTAAAACCATCCAGAAGAAGCAGAAGCCGGAGCTGGAGCCGCACAGCCCTTGCGCCGCTCCCCTGTCCTCGGAGCAGCTGGACCGGATCGCCCGCAACAAGAGAGCGGCGCTGGAGAAACGCGCTTCCGCTCAAACGCCGTCGGAGTTCGGGGAGAGCTGGAGGACGGGGCTGTCCGCTGAGTTCGCGAAGCCGTATTTCAAACAGGTAGAGACGGAGAATAACTCTGCTTCTGCTGTTTACGTGTAACATAACCGCTGTAATGCTTTTGTGTCTGTGTCGCAGCTGATGACTTTTGTTTCTGACGAGAGAAAACGCCACACAGTTTACCCACCTGCTGAGCACGTCTTCACCTGGACTCAGACCTGTGGCATCCGGGATGTAAGTTGTGGATTATCCAGATTTATGAAGTGAATGTAAATGTTAACATGTCGTTCCATCCTTTAATAAAAATGCAAAAGCTTAAAAGGGAAATATAAAACAATACAGTGATACACACCCATATATTATATCAGTATTGCATGTTAAAACAAGAACTGGTAGGGATGTGGATAAATTTTTAATCCTACACCAATATTAAATCTGACAGCGGATTCCAAAAGAACATTTCAAACCATACAAAATAACACCAAAATCGTGATTATCTCAAGTATGAGGGAAGTTATTGATGTTTGTTTAGGTGAAATCAGCTCATGTTTTCTTGCTGCAGTTCACAGCAGAACCAATGGGGCCTTTGTGACCATTTCACCTTGCTGTTTTCTAATTTTGCTCATAACTTTCTCAGTGTTCAAGATATCGCCATGGAATTTTAAGAAAAATTCACTTGCTGGTTTTTGTAGGAAGCATCTTGTATCCTAAAAAACCTAATAAAACTTAATAACAGCCAATGCAAAAGAGCAGAAAAGGTATAAAATAACATTACAAGGCAAACTGCAGCATCAAATCAACTTAATATGTCTTAGAAAGTAAGGAAATTAAAACAATTCAAAAACCAGGTGGACATCTGTTTTGTAAACAAAGCTCCTCAACCAATGACAGCGTGTTAAATGCGTCAAGTGACGAAGACGAGCATCAAAACACTTTGCAACAAGCGCTATTCCGGATTTTTAAAAAAACATACTTCGATGTTTCAAATCATTATCAAATTTGGAACAAGGGCAGATAAAATAATGTTCTTCGTGGCAGCTTATCTCTTTAAGTTTTCACTAGAAAAACTCAGGTGATTTACTTTTGATCCTCTTCAAAAAACTGTCTCTTCAAAACGCGTCAACAAAAATTAAAAACTTGAAGACGAGGCTGTAGCTAACTACCTGACGTCAGCGCGGTTTCTTGAAATTCACTAACGAAGCAGGAGAAAATTACAAGCAAACGCACCAAGCAGCCTTGCTAAATCTGGTCACAGCAGTTTGGGAAGAAAGTTGCAGCAGCTGCTGACGAAACAACATCCCAAGAATTGGCAGCTTTACAACAGTGAGGCAAAAGCTGTTCTTTGCTCTGTTATTGTTCTGTGCATTCAGTTTATGTCCAGGTTGTGATGACTCCTGCTGTATTTTCTGTATTTTCTGACGCTCTGTAGTGCTTTTCTCTTCACCACAGCAAAGCTAGAAAACCACACACAGGCAGTATTGTAGGCCGCCAGCAGTCTGTGAGAGATGTTTCTTTTGGGAAACCTCAGAAAGTAAAGTCTTTTTTATATTTGAACCCAGAACTGTTGGTATGAAGACTTTAGTAGAGAGATGAGCAACTTAAATAACTGTTACAGGAGAAAACACATTCTCATATTAGATGTTGTCTTGCACATTTATTTTGTTTTCATCAATACCATGTCATCCTGTCTTTGGGTAATTGGCGAATGGCACAATGGTGTGCCTCTTTTCAGGTCAAAGTGGTAATTCTCGGCCAGGATCCCTATCATGGTCCCAACCAGGCCCATGGACTGTGCTTCAGTGTGAAAAGACCAGTTCCTCCCCCTCCCAGGTTTGAAAAAACACCAGGTCTGAACTCATTAAAGTTGAAATCAGTCCAGGAGCGTCTTTTCACGCCACCTCTTCCATGCCTTTTGTTTTCAGTTTGGAGAACATGTACAAAGAACTGGCCTCAGACATTGAAGGTTTTCAGCACCCTGGTCATGGAGATCTGACTGGATGGGCCGAACAGGGTACTTTTGAATAGCTGCAGTCTGTTACATGATGAAACACAGAATCACTTTAACAAAACTGCTGCTGTTTCTTCCTGTGAATCGGCTCTCCAGGCGTGCTGCTCCTCAACGCTGTACTGACTGTCCGAGCGCAYCAAGCCAACTCCCACAAAGAGAGAGGCTGGGAGGTGTTCACTGACGCTGTGGTGCAGTGGCTCAGCAACAATCTGGAGGGTGTTGTGTTCATGCTGTGGGGAGCGTACGCGCAGAAGAAAGGAGCTGCTATTAACAGAGTACGTCTGCCCTTTATTCATGTCAGCTTTGTTAACATATTTTCATATACAACTCACAGATTCCTGCTGTCTGATTATAGAAACGCCACCACGTCCTGCAGGCTGTGCACCCTTCTCCTCTGTCTGCTCATCGAGGATTTTTCGGATGCAGGCATTTTTCAAAGGCCAACGATCTGCTACAGAGCGCAGGAAAGTCTCCCATAGACTGGAAGGCTCTATAAGTTCTGTCCACGTTAGCTTTTCTAACACGAGTGTTCATTAACTACAGACCAAAAACCCATCTATAAGCTTTTTTTTATTTTCAGTTAGTTATATTTTTATGTTTTTGTAAAACAAATTCATGTTAGTTGTTTGTTCTGAACGTTTTCTTTTACCTTCAAACTTACTGTTCTGGTTCTTTGAATGTTGTCTGGTTTCATTGTTGTAAATATGTTCATTCACTGTTTACCTTTATAACTTGCACAATAAAGTTTTTTTAGCAGCGCTCCCTAACATCTGTAATGTAGCATTACTTTTAACGTTTAAGTTTTAGTGAGCATCTTCAAGCCTACATTTTTAAAAGGGAATATGATGCAAAATATATTAGACTGATTTGGAGGATTAACGTGCAAGGAAAATATTAGTCATCACACTGATTTTCTTATTTTAGGGCTTATTTGACTTGTGTTTTAAAATTACATAATTTTACTCAAAGATATAGAGGTCATGTTTATTTTTGTTGTACTATAATTATACCTGTTTCCTTTGTACTTTTTTATGTGTTTGAACTTGGTCCATACAATCGTGTTGGCTTTATCAGCCAGTGTTATCAAGGTCAGCTTTGTTGACATTTAGTAACTGAAAGATTATCATGATCAAGGTTACAATAAGTTAAACTAGCATAGAATGAAATAACTAGGAATAAAATGAGGCCTTGGGCAATTTTGTCGACTTCTGTTCCCACAAAATAAATAAATAAAAATAAAAACTATCCTAAAGTAAACATCTATGGGGGGGTTTCACTCATTTTATTTGTTATTAAGGATCCTAAAATACTGTATACTAAGGCACAATTCACAACAGAAGAAAATGCAGTTTCACATAAACTGAGCAGAAAAGTAGATTAAAGAAACAACTTGGAAAAATACAGAATAAATATGTTAGTAAATAAAATAACATTTTTGCAAGAGGACTTTGTTTCAGATCGTAAATTATAAATTATTGTTACATTGTGCTTCATTGTTGTTGCATCGATTTAGCAATTTCTTGAGCAAAATTATTTCGTTAAAAAAATCTTGAGCATTGGGTGCGTAAAAAAACGGCATTTATGAACTTGTTTTTATCCTCACAAAATACTTTCGGTCTCCGACGTGTAGGCGGGGCTCCGCCTATGACGTAGCAACGTGGACAGGAAGAGGAACGCCCGTCTCTTCTGTTTGCAGTGTGTGTGTACGGTGCAAAAGTGTGTAGACTAGAGTCAGAAGAATAACGATGCCCGTGAAGAGTCTRCCAGTCCGGGATGGCTCCATTCAGTTCCGTTTGCTGCAGCAGTATTTGGTCCTTCTGAAAAAATACCCGATCCTCACTAAATCTGTTACCAGGTCAGCAACTCTTCTCTTCAACTCGTATCTGCCTTTACTTCTCTGTTTCAGAACTGTAACAATAAAGTAGGCGTTTTTTATTTAAAGTTACTGACCGACTGAATTAGCTTGTATCTCCTTTATTAGGATGTTAAAATTGTCTGACCCCCTGCTAGAAGTTTGCTTTTACAAACCACTTTCTTTGCACTAAACACAAAGGTTATTCTGGTTTCAGCCAATCAGCATCTGCCAGGAGAAACTCCCCTAACAACACTGAACACTGATTATCTTTCATCTAATGCTTAATAGAAACGTGCAAACGTACCTGTTGTCTAATAAGAGTGTTTTTTGTTTCTACTCTTCATTATTTCAGTGCCATCCTTTCAGCTTTAGGAAACTTGCTCTCGCAGTATTTGGAGGCGAGAAAAAAGGCCCAAAGAGGAGCTGAGGTCAATGACATAGATGTGGCTGGAGCTACACGATATGCCATTTATGGGTGAGACTGAACACAAAAAACTACTTCATTTGTGTATAAAGCAACAATAAAGCTGTTGTAGCTATTGTTTATTTATTTTTTTGCRTTTTGCAGATTATTAATCACAGGACCAGTGAGCCATTACTTTTACCAGCTGATGGAGGTGTGGATGCCCACCACGGATCCGTTGTGTGTGGTGAAACGACTGCTGCTGGACCGACTTTTTTTTGCCCCTGGATTTCTGCTCCTTTTCTACGCAGTTATGAACATCCTGGAGGTGGGTCTTCTTCTCAGGATCTGTCAGCCAAGTAAAAACATAAAATTCTTGCACACAGTTTGTATCTTTTTGTTAAAAAGAATGCGATTTACTGACTCTTAGCTCAAACGTTACATATCACGTTTTTGGTTATCTTGAGCCACATCAAATGATGCAGTTTGAAAATATTTACTTCAGTGGTTTTCCATAAAAGTAAAGTACTTATTTGCATTTTTTTTTCAGGCTAAAGGTTGGCAGGATTTTGAAAAGAAGTTGAGAAAAAGTTACTGGACAGCTCTGAAGATGAACTGGAAGGTCTGGACCCCCTTCCAGTTCATAAACGTCAACTTTGTGCCTGTTCAGGTAGGTTTTTTTTTTCTTTCATTTAAAAAAAGAATGGGCCTCATGCAAGAACATGTTCGTATTCTTATCCTAAATTTCTCTTACTTTTGTTCGTACAAAGGGTTCGTACGAACATGCCACGTC